AGTGTATAGTGTAAAAGATATTATGTCTACTACTGGGAAGAGAGAAGAGTTTTTAGTAAATGCTACTGGTGCTAGACGCACAGGATTGAAGGATATCCTACTTGATGAATCATTATCAGATATTAGTAACCTGTCACAATTAGGAGGACGTGATATTAAGGTAAGAATTAAAACACACACAAACTGTTTGATAATAACACACAAGCACTAATAATCAAAAGGTCATAATTATTATTTTTAATGTCAAATTACTCAATCTTTGTTCTTTGTCATAATAGTGGGTTATCATTGTGTGGCTTTTATATGCTACTAATTATTATACTGAACTGACCTTTCAGCAATACACTACATGAGGACCTTGATAAGCAAGCATAGTGATTATTATTATTATTTTATAGGAATTGATTGACATAAGTGAAGAATCCAACTCAATAACTACAATGGAGCTAGGTATGTTATGATATGTAGTGAGGGGGCAGATTATAATTATTTCATATTAATACTCTTTCACACTACACGAATGAACTGTGTCACTGTATAGAGCCAACAATTGAAAAGGTCATATCAACTCCAGATTACTCAGCCACAGAGATCAGTGAGTCCAATGATGATCAACAAAAAGGTATAAGTAGTCATTGTCACTGGTTTCACATTATTTATTTATTTATTTACTTATAATACTGTAGTTATATTGACTATCAGGGATCTGGTTGAGATATTACGAGTTTTAAAAGATGGTAACTTTCAAACTATCAAATGGTTTGATCTTGGTCTCTACTTGGGTCTGATTCATGATGATCTGAAGATTATTGAGGATAACTATCCACGAGATGCTAAGCGATGTCTCAGAGAATGTTCAGCATTATGGCTCAGAGATGATATTGAAGCAGCATGGAACAAACTAGCTATTGCTGCTGGTGAAGTAGGAGAAACATCAGTCGCCGAATATATAAGTGAGATTGCAATTAATGATAATAATGATTATTAATTATTAATAGCATCATCAAAATTAAGAGCATCATCAAAATTAAGAGATTTAACAATTTGAAAAAAGGAGGTCCCAATTGGTTGTCATTAGCTACAGCACTGGATACAATAGAAGAAAAATCTATTGCTTCTTACATTAGAGATAAATATTGTCCATCAAATTAGTTGACTGAACTACATGTAGTTCATTAGTTTTTTATTTGATAAATTATATTTTAAAGATTAAATGGGCAAGACAAAGCAAGCCAAGCTGAGCATTATGTGGGCAAGCCAAAGCAAGCCCTAATAAGAGGAAAAAGCAGGAAGGGACTAAATTGCTTCTGTTGGTCTGTTTGTACAGGTAGTTTAAAGTTGCAAATAAATCATAAAATGACATATTTTTATTTTGCAATTATTTACTTTTTTAAAAGCTCCAGCAGCAATTTCCCCAGCTCTTCTCATCAGTGATATCTCACCCTCAGACTTTATAGCTCTCAATGTATGCATGTGATACAGGAGACTGTGATTACCTACAAAACATGTACATGTACACATATACCTGTCAAACCAGTCTTACTGGTTATACGAGAGCCTGGCACATTTAACAAGTGTTGATGTATGGTGACATCAATGGAGTC